TTTGCAAATCCTAAATCATTTGAATCACATTTTCAGTAATGTTTGATATGCAGTTCTGCGTTCATGAGAGCAAAAAAGCGAGAAGATTTACGTACAGTTGAAGTCAGAATTATTAGCCAGCCTGTTTATTTTTTCCCCAATTTCTGTTTAACGGAGAGAAGATTTTTTTAACACATTTCTAAACATGATAGTTTTAATCACTCATTTCTAATAACTGATTTTTTGGGAAATATTTCAAAAAGTAATAAAAATTCAAGGGGGTGGGGTAATAAAAAATCCTTCAATTTTTTTTTTCTTCCTTTTTAAAATATTTCCTAAATGATGTTTAACAGAGCAAGGAAATTTTTACAGTATGTCTGATAATGTTTTTTTCTTCTGGAGAAAGTCTTATTTGTTTTATTTTGATTGATTGATTAAAAGTAGTTTTTAATTTTTTAAACACCATTTTTAGGACCAAATTATTAGCCCCTTTAAGCAAATTTTTTTCTGACTGTCTACAGAAGAATCCATTGTTATACAATAACTTGCCTAATTACCCTAACCTGCCTAGTTAACCTATTCAACCTATTTAAGCCTTTAAATGTCACTTTAAGCTGTATAGAAGTGTCTTAAAAATATTTAGTCAAATATTTTTTATTGTCATCATGCCAAAGATAAATCAAATCAGTTGTTTGAAATGAGTAATTAAAACTGAAAATGTTTAGAAACATTAAAAATGTTTAGAAATGTGTTGAGAAAATCTTCTATCTGTTAAACAGAAATTGGGGAAAAAATAAACAGGGGGTCTGATAATTTAGGGGGGCTAATATTTCTGATTTTACCTGTATTAACATTTTTTTTCCTTTTGTGATTATATCATATATTTTTTTTGTGCTCAGCGGTTAGCACTGTCACCTCACAGCAATAGGTTGCTGGTTTGAGTCCCAGCTGGTGCAGGGTGCTTTTCTGTGTGCATGTTCTTCATGTTCATGAGTTTTCATGTTCTCCTTGTTTTCATTCGTTTTCTCCAGGTGCTTTGGTTTCCCCCACAGTCCAAAGACATGCGATTTAGGTGTATTAAGTAAAGAAAAATTGGCGGTAGTTTATGAGTTTGTGTGTGAATGAGAGAGTATGGATGTTTTCCATTACTGAATTGAAGCTGTAAGGGCATCCGCTGCATAAAACACATGCCAGAGTAATTGGTGGTTAATTTAGCTGTGACGATCCCTGATAAAGCAGGGACTAAGCCAAAGGATAATAAGTGAGTGATCTATGAACCAAATCATTATGACTGGTGTTCCCTCTAGATTTAATATTTATTTTATTAATTGTAGTAGTCTACTGGGTCAATAATGTAACCTATACATTTCAGAAGAGTTTATCTTAACCCCAAAATGACCAGATCTCACACACACACACACACACACACACACCCACACACACACACACACACACACAAAGAAGCGTAAAAAGCCACATTAAGCACTATTTTTCTTACAGTGTGCTTCTATAGGAGTAAAAGGAATATGCATTAATTTACGATTACTTTCAAAATAGAGCTGTACTTACAAACAGCTTACATCAGCACAAACTGTCTTTTTGACATTAAAATAGTACTGTCAGGATTTAAAACTCTTATGGGGAAGATTTAGTGCTGAAAAGGCCAGAAGTGCCAAATACACAAACAATAAATGGCTTAAAGTTGTTAAAGTAGATTGTTTTCAGGAATATTTTTGTTACGCTGGCTGAAAATCTCCCCACATCCTGACAGCAATCATTAAATTAAGTGGTCCAAGAAAATTTCATACTGAACATTATGATAGCCTGTCCCACCTGCCTGTATATAATTGCAAACTTCTGTGCAGCCTGTTCGTGCAGAAATGATTATGTCATTTGAACAGAGAATGGCAGGCAAATATCATCTACCTACCTTCAGTTTGGTATTGTATTAAGATTGGTATTAAATACTACTGTGCTGTAACCTTTTTGGTAAAATTTTACTTGAAGGGGTGTTCATAAGACTGTCTTGAAAACTTTATAATTATGACTTGTGTTTAATGACACTGCATGCTTATGACTACTGTTATTGTCATTTGCTCAGATATGACATTTTTAAATGCAAAGATTGGTTGAAAGAAATCACAAACTGTTTAAACTTTGTCATGACAACTTGACATTACCAAGACATTATTTAATAAGACATCCTTATGAGGCAAACTTTCCAAGACAACTTGTCATAAATCTGTCATAAACATGATTGTCATGAGACATTATAATTGTGTCATAAACATTTTTCTGATAGGGCGACACGGCGGCTCAGTGGTTAGCACTGTCGCCTCACAGCTAGAAGGTTAATGGTTTGAGTTCCGGCTGGGTCAGGTGGCATTTCTGTGTGGAGTTTGCATGTTCTCCCCGGGTTTCTTCCCAGGGAGATCTGATTTCCCTGACACTTCCAAGACTTGCGCTATAGGTGAATTGAATAAACTAAATTGGCCATAGTGTATGATCTTGTATGGATGTTTCTCAGTACTGGGTTGCAGCTGGAAGGGCATTCATTGTGTAAAACATATGATGGAATAGTTGGCAGTTTATTCCACTGTGGTGAGCCCTGATGAATAAAGGGACTAAGCTAAAGGAAAATGGATGAATTAATATTTTTCGGGTCTTGTTTTCAGTGGAACAAACTGTGGTTGTCATTAAAATGTTTCATTAAAAGTGCTATCATATAATGTTTAACAGCATCATTTAATGACTTTTTAATGACAAATTTAGCTTGTACATTGATGCCTAAAAACAATAATGACTGTGTTATAAAATTCATGACAAATATATGATCAGGGTATCTGCTTAAAAAAAAAAAAAGTTTTAGGCCTTAAAAGTTCTTCAATTTGCTGAATTATTGTTCTGTAGGTCTTAAATCATTTTAAACTGGTCTTAATTTTCCTATGTCCAACATTCCATCTAATGTTTTATTAAAAGATTATTCATTAATGATACTTCTTTACAAAAACATTTGTTATTAATGGTTATTTAAATGTTTTACCTCGGCAAATAAAAAAAAATTATTTAGCGTTTAGCGCTATGTAAGCCTGAAATAATTCATAATGGTCTTGAAAAGCCTTAAGTTTGACTTGATGAAACTTGTAGAAACCCTGATGATGGCTTCATGACAATCACGTTTATTGCAGATTTATGAAAAGTTTTGCTGTCTTGGTAATCTACAATTGTCTCAACTTGAGACAAAAAAAAAAAAAAACAAGGTTGTGATGTATTAGTTTATGTCAAGTTGTCTGAACAAACAATGTCATCTTTTTACTTAAAATGTCATAACTGAGAAACTGACACTTAATGACATTTTTTATAAGCATGCATAAAATCTCATTCACATTCATGATGTGTTTTTGTAGTCAATGATGATTATAAACGTTTAATAACACCCCTTCAAGTAAATTATTACCACATTTTCTATCTGGTGAATGTTAGGTCAAACATTTTGGTGTTGCTGTCTAGTGCCTGTTCATGTGTTCAGGAAGCGTGGCCTTGGATCCCGATTTGCCAGATAAAATGTATGCTTTCAGTGCTATCAGGTTAGTGTTTAGTGTTAGCATTTTCCGATCTCCTATTGCACCTTTAAGTGAACATAAACAGTTGAGCACATGAGTGCTGTCCAGTTTTGAGTCTATCACTGTTGCACTAAAATGTTATATACGTTTTATTATGGAATTACCTCACTTAGAAGATAATCACTTTTTCACCTCATATACTTTTTCTCATATAAAATATCTACAAAGACAGAAAATATCACTGTAAAAACTGCATTGTACATAAATCAGATGAAAATATTCATATCAGTAAATATTTTTACTGTAATTAATTTAAAAACTAAATAAATATAGATTTACACACATTTACTCAAATAAATTAACATAATTAATGATGGGCAAAAATCTGTGGAATTCTTTGGAAAATCTGCGGATTCTACAGAGATTCCGTGTGGGCCTAAGAGAACAATATTGTTAGCAGAAGATTCATGCAGAAACTCTCCATTCAACTGCAATTATGTCTAGGAGAAATGGTTGAGATAAATCTTCTTTCATTTTCTTTTCTTTAAGGAATGATTAGAGAAAAGCATTTGCTTAATTATGATTAGTCAAGCTTAATTGTGGCTTCTTTTTGCAGTGGGCAAATGCTGATGTTCACTTTTCTGACTGTGCAAGATGCACAAGCATATTTTGGAGACCTTTTTTTATGCTTAAAACTGGGTTGAACAACAATCCATGCGTGTTTTTATTTTATGTACTGTATATATTTAGATTAGGGTTTAGAAATGGAAGTTGCCTTCATGTCTATTTACAGTCTTTCTTCAGGCCATAGTATAATTTAGCTGTCTCCCATAAATTAATTTCAGGTCATGCCTTAACAATTCTGCAAGATTACGATGAAGGCATTGACTTTTAAAGCATAGCAGTACTTCAACTTCAGCTGTGCAATTCTGTTGAACATTTCCAACTTCTGATAAAGCAAAAGTCCAGTGATAGACACATTAATGCTTTTTCTTTTCAAATATACAGTTAATATTTTACAGTTAAGATAGATAGATAGATAGATAGATAGATAGATAGATAGATAGATAGATAGATAGATGGATGGATGGATGGATGGATGGATGGATGGATGGATGGATGGATGGATGGATGGATGGATGGATGGATGGATGGATGGATGGATGGATGGATGGATGGATGGAGAAGAAAGAGTACAACATGAAGAGTACAACAAATCCAAAATCGGTCATCTTTAAAAAAGTTTCACGGGTTATATTCATCATTCTCATTTCTTTTTCAGAAAGTAATTAAACAGATCCTCGTCTGACTCATCTCACACAGAGGGCAATACATAAATCTGCATACTCTTACATATGCATGAACAAATGCTAAATCTCTGCGTACACAACCAAATGCTTGTAAATATCATTCAGCTATTTCTGAATTGTGTCTTACGGTGTTTTACATTTCCATTAGATTATACCAAAAGACAACGAGACAAGGTCAACGCTTATGTACAAGTACATCATCCATGAAGATTCAGTGCCCCTAAACAACAATAACGTCATTCAAGAGGACACGTATGAATGGGCGCTGAAGAGCTGGTCCCAATGTTCGAGACCTTGTGCTGGAGGTATTGTTCAAATTCTGTCATCTTTAAGCATTTCCAGATTAAAGTTGCAAGATGTACTGTAACATAAGTGCCCAAGAATAACATTTATTTAACCTTTGAGTACATGCTTTTGTCTTATCCTAAAGCACTATGATGTATGAGGTGTGCCTGTATAATTGTTTAAATTAGGATTATTTAGATCTATTAGTCGATGCTTTGGAAAAGGCTATAAAATATGACAATATAGTTTACATTTAGTGACAATTCAAGTGATACGACTGTTGAGATACTGTATACTCCTTAATATATCGAAACACATGATATACAGTTGAAGTCAGAATTATTAGCCCCCCTGAATTATTAGCCCCTTGTTTATTTTTGCCTATTTTTTGTTTAACAGAGAGATTTTTTTCAGCATAATATTTTACTAGATATTTTTCAAGACACTTCTATACAGCTTAAAGTGACATTTAAAGGCCTAACTGGGTTAATTTGGTTAACTAGGCAGGTTAAGGTAATTAGGCAAGTTATTGTATAATGATTGTTTTGTTCTGTAGACTATCGAAAAAAAAATATATATAGCTTTAATAATTTTGTCCTTAAAATGGTGTTTAAAAAATGTAAAACTGTTTTTATTCTAGTCGAAATAAAATAAATAAGACTTACTCCAGAAGAAAAAATATTATCAGACATACTGTGAAAATTTCCTTGTTCTGTTAAACATTATTTGTGAAACATTTAAACAAGAAATAAAAATTAAAAGGGGGGCTAACAGTTCTGACTTTAAATGTATGTATCCAAGATGAATGTGTCCAGTTTTAATAACCGTGCTCAGTTCAGCATTTTTGCAGCTGATCTTTGATTTACTTAGACTTTTCACAGTCTACCCAGGCATGGAAACTGAGATTATGTACTTTTCTAATAACATCTGGTAACACCTGCCCTAAAGGGAAATATGCTCTTGTTCAGAAGTGACTGGAGGGAGATCAGATATGCAGACTGATAAGGTGCTGCTGTTAACACACCTTGCACTGAATTATTTAATGAAGAAATATGATTGGAAAAGCATCTTATAATTACTATTTTGCCCATGTTGGACAGAGATGACACTCAGTTGACAGCAGAAACACATCCCTCTGCTTTGTCAGCATGAAATAAGTTTGAGATCAGCAAATTGAGAGAACACACCGACCAAATCTGACTAAAAAATGTACTCCAACAGCTTACATAAAGAGGTAGGCAAGTATGCAATGTTGTGACCAAAAACTATATGTAGAAATTTCTGTATCTGTAATTGGAAATTTCTCATAAAACCATAAAGCTGAAAGGTTTTAAAACAGGGGTCACCAATCTGCCCCTATGTCCCTGCAGACTTTAGCTCTACATTGTGTCAGCACACACCTGCCTGCAAATTTCTAGTATAGAAATAGCTTGTCCAGTTTTGTTTGATTGGGGTTTGAGTTAGGCTGCGGTCACACTAGAGTCTGAGCTTGCGAAATTCTGTCGTACAATGATGCGAAAACAGGTGGGATTATACAAGATAATGAGACATTTAAAAAAGCGAGCAATTGGTCCATATATGTAAATTTTCTGTCCAGAGAGGTCATGTTTTGATCCTCGATTGGTCTCACGCAGTGAAGTGATGCGATTTTACAGGTGAGAGTTCACCAAGCTATGGGCGAAGCAGTGAAAGGGACTAAGACGACAAAATAAGCCGACAAGAAAATAAATGAATGAGTTCACAAAGCTTGAACTTTGCAATGCAGCGAACTGCGAAAGTTGTCGCACGAACTTGTGTTTCTGATTTGACGCATTCGTGTAGGTATGAATTGAAGTCTATGGGAGAAAAGTCTAGTGTGACCGCAGCTTTAAACTCTGCAGAATACTGGCCCTCTATGAGCAAGTCTGGTGACCCCTGCTTTAAAGTATTAAAGGCACATACTAGTTTAGTTATTTTACACTATTATTACACATAAAATGAGACTGTGGATCATGCTGTAATATTGATTGACTTGCAGAAACTGATTCTTTCACTTTATAAGAATTCAATCTATTGTTATTGGAGGCACATCTATTAATCTATTGACAGGAGACACATAAGAGTATTAAAGTTGTTGTTTATTTTATGTTTTTTTTTTAATGTTATTTGTTTTTTTTTTATATTTTACTGTCGACAAACCCCTTAGGTCTGTTTAAAGTGGATGATGTTGCACTAGTCAAACGTTACTGATGATTATTTACTTCAAAATTATATGTTTCTGTTTGTTCTTTCATTTTGTTTACACTTCAGGCTTCCAATACACCAAATATGGGTGCCGTAAAAAAGGTGACAACAAAATGGTGCATAGAGGTTATTGTGATGTCAACAAGAAGCCCAAGCCTATTCGCAGGATGTGTAACTTACAGGACTGTACACAACCACAGTAAGTCGGAATTGAGCCAATCTGAACCCTATTAACAATACCTGCTTTTCACTTGAATGCTAGCTCAAATGACTTCTCTTGGTACAGTGTGTGATTATATTGAATTTCTTATTTCATCATATTAACCCAATCGAAACAGCGCTAAATAATGTATATGCATTCATTCTGTACCAGCCTAGCTGGGAGATCTCTGAGCTGGGTTTTGATTACTTTATACCATAGGGAGGGCTTGCTTCATTCATTTTTCTTGTCAGAGGCTAAGTAGAAATCTCAGGTTGTGATTGTGCATGTATGTGTCATATCTGGAAATTGTTCACCTCAGCATGTCATTTCTACTGAATGTGTAGCCTTGGCTGATTTTACATTCATAGACAAAGTTATTTTCTTCCGTTCCATAGGCAAACACAAATAACCCTGTAGGTTTTTTTTTCTTCTTTTGTTTCATTGAGCATGTGTCCATGACCTGCTGTTATGATTAACACAAAGAATATACGTAAATCAATTATTGGGACTCTTCTTGAATCAACCTACACACGTCATTCTCACTGAATAACTTTTCTATTTCAATGTACACGGCAGTTTAATGTTTATTTGCATTAGAAGGCATTTTTAAGCATCTTCGTTCCACTTCCTCTGAAAACTATTGATTAATGTGATGCTTCAAACTCAAAGTACTTTCTTGATCAGAAATAACTTTGGTTTTATAAAGTGATAGAGAAAACTCTGATGTGTGGAAGTTATTAAAAATTTATATTTTTCAATTGAAAAGTTTTTTCTTTTAACTAAGTTATTTACTGGTTCATGTGAGTACTGCAGAAGCACCCAAAATGCTCTCATTGGATGAGAAGTGGGATGACAAAAGCTACATTTCCACTGTCGGGCAAGTGCGAGACAGGGCTTTTATCGGGCCGGGCCGGGCCGGGCCAATCGCCCGGGAGGTTGAGCAGTGAGGCTGAAATCATGTCACATTTCCGCTGTCGGGCTAGGCTAGTAGCTTCCAGCGCATCACACAAACCCTGCCCCCAGAACGTCACCCGAATCAAACGTCACACCACCTGCCATCTTCAGAGTGAATCAGACAGATAAAGCACACCATCGCATCCTCACGAAACCATTAAAAGACAACCGAAACAAACTAACAACACGTTGTTGTACAGCGTTACAGTATATGTCTATACACACATGCCAGTGTGTTCTCATTTTTCATATTCATTTACTCACCAACTGATTGTTGGCATGGAATATCGAGTGGTCTCGCCACTAACGGAGGGACCCAGTGCAGTGAGCGCACCCATCCATAATATAAAACCACAGAAATTCTCTGTTAATAACTCGGTAGAAAATGTATTTTATAACATCCTCGTTTAGATAGACGCTGTCAAACATTCAGCCCAAATGCTCCGTACAGAGCTGGTACATATTAACTGTTCCCTATAGGCTATATAACACTTAATAGGTGACTCTTTTTTATTTAAGGATCTTGCATATTATTCTGTGATCTTAAGTAAAGGAAAATGTTAAGTGTTTCTGCACATAAGAGCAAGTAATAAAATATAGCCTATATTTGGTTGCGCTCAGCAGCTTTTCACTAATAAAGCTCTTCATGTATTTAAAATTTCGTTTTTAAATTTTACTGCGTCATATAAAAACATAAACATATGTTTGAGGACACAGAGCACATTTTGCATTTGCAGTTTTCCCTGATGCGTATGTACAGGGACGCTGCACAGGACTGGATGACAAAAAAAAGGTAACCTAAAAAAAAAAAAGGTACCCTAGTTTCTGCTTTCACTTACCCAAAAAATGTTCTGTTTGCACGATTAAATTTCAATCATCGTATCCAAATACTTTATAAATAATATTTCAAACCTTCTCCGGTGTTTATTGTTTTTAGAAAATATCTAAAATCTTTTTTTCAGATAAGCTTTTGTAAAATTAAAGTTTAATATGGCTTTAGAATGGTTTGATTTATGTATTGTATATAACTACATTGTTAGAGCTAGTTTTTGTTTGTTTTATATTGGTTTGTTTATTTAATGTGATTTTATTTTGCTGTGTCTTTAATATGGTGTAAAGATTATTATGCATTATTGAAACATCAAAGAGGACGCAAATACTTTAAAAGTAAAGCTTTAATATTTTATGCAACAGCCTTACATTTAAAAGGGAAACATACGGGCGATCATACGCAAAAAGACCTCAGCCTATAAGGATAGATGTTTCCTTTACCGTATTTGTTTATTTGTTTGGGCGCATGTACTCATGTGCGATCGGAAAACTAATGTCCGCCTCTCCTTTCACTGGCCCCGAGAAAGCCCCGCCTTGGCCTGATTATGCCCCGGAAATGACAGTGGAAACGCGACTGGCCTTGGCTTGCCCTAGCTCACTCACTTTAGGCGCGATAGTGAAAACGCGGCTAATGATCCAAAGGCATTGAATGACCAACATCCCACCCTCCTGTGACCCATGGAGGGTTTATGTGTGTTTTCAGATCCTGTGAGGATCGGACCTTCTAACTAACAGTGATAATTAAAAAATTATATTATTAATAATAATGCGAGATAAAATAATCATGTGCATTAACTAATCATAGCTCCTTACACAGTGATATGGCAAATTTCCAGAAGGACTGTAATATCTCTTGAAGGACTTTACCTGTAAATTAAGAAAGCGATGTTCACACAGGGGCGCAGTGGGTAGCACAATTCACTCACAGCAAGAAGGTCGCTGGTTTGAGTCTTGGCTGGGTCAAAGTCATTTTTGTGTGGAGTTTGCATGTTCTCCCCGTGTTCATGTGGGTTTCCTTCAGGTGCTCCGGTTTGCTCCACAAGTCCATACACATGTTGTATAGGTGAATTGGTATAAGCTTAATTGGCTGTAGTGCATGGTTGTGTGTGTGTGTGTGTGTGTGTGTGTGTGTATTGGTGTTTCCCAGTGAAGGGTTGCGGCTTGAAGGGCATCCGCTGTGTAAAACATGTGCTGAATAAGTTGGGGCTTTAGTATTCAATGCAGCTTCTGTTTATCCCAGAGACATCCAAAGGAAAGCGTGAACCACCGCTAAATGTATATACATTTGACTACATTATAGATTATGTAGATGTATAAGTATTGGGAACCACTTTGATATAAACATATGGAGGAAGACTTTCGCATGTGGAGTTGTACTCACCGGAGCACTCTTTCACTCTTTCACCTCACACAGCTGAAAGCTGGGCTTGCAGGTAAACTCACAGCAGTTTATCTTATGCCTTTTATTGATATTTTTTTCCACAGTTGACATTAATAATGAACAAAGAAACATTATGTAACTAACAACTAGCTGCTAAATGTGTCAGGAAATGTATTGAAAGGCTTTTATTTTCATAAACAGAATGGATGTGAATGCGTTTGAATATTCTTATTGGCTGGAGTAGGCGTCTCATGTCAGCCTATTGTAAACATGAATATGCTCTTTCCGGCAATTTTCTTTCTGCGTTTACACAGTACAGCATTTATGGAAATTACCGGTAATGTTACAACTTTAACAAAATTGCTGGAATGAATTCACAAAGCCTGCATGTGTGAAAGAGGCTAATGTGTTAAATGAATGTTAGCTTGTCGAGCCCTTAATAAACACTGAAATCTCAAAATGTTGTGTAGTTCTCTCAAGCAGCTATTGCATCTATCACAGATTCACTTTATTTAAAATATATATCATATCCCTCTGAAAGCAGACGTTTTTGTTTTTTTTTTGTTATATTGCTCTAGTTCACCAACCAACACCAACCTTTTTAGCCCAAGATCGCTAACCTCAGCCTTACTGAAAGGCAAAATCTACTCAGAAAAATGTAAACTATATTTTTAACTAATAAAACTAATAAACAGAAATTGACAACTATAATAAACAGATGGCTATACAACATTGACACTCTTTTTTTTTTTTTTTTAAATAGATTATACAACTTTAGCCAGGGTTTCACAGACGGGTTTATTGTGAAATCATGAAATATGTAAACACAATCATGATTACCCAAATAAAAAAATAAAAAAAATGGCAGCTTGTTTTGACTATATATGTTTGTACTTTTTATATTTATTTTGTATATAAATATACATGGATATAATTCAGAAAGGTGGCACAGTGGGTAGCACGTTCGCCTCACAGCAAGAAGGTCGCTGGTTCAGGCCTCAGCTGGGTCAGTTAGCATTTCTGTGTGAAGTTCGCATGTTCCCCCCTTGCTCGCGGGGGTTTCCATTTTTCATGTATGTGTGTGTATCACATATACGTAATTCATATTTGTAATAAACACATATGTAATGTCAAAAGTTTATTAACGTTGTTATAGAAACAGCTCAGTGAACAGTGGTAAATTCTTCTGGAAGGGCAGAGGGCACTCTCACGTGGAAATTGCAAAAATACGCCACATAGAAAAAAAAAAGACATGGGGGAAATCTAACAAAGCAGAGCATTTAACTGCTTGTGCTGATTCAGCTACTAAACACACAACTATGGAATCATTTCACAGAAGGATTATATCTGAACACTCGACCCGAAGTTATGGGGTGAGTTAGGAGTAAAAACATGTCTGTGATTTTCACATCCTTTCGGATCAGCAGAAACAGAGCCATAGTTCAGTGAGAAGCTACGCACACAGTTGTCAAATCATAGAACGATTACAATTGATTTAAGTTTTTTTTTTTGCACAGCTTTTCACTGAACTGGCTCTGTGTAGTAAACCTGAAAGCAGGTGCTGGAGATTTACAGCGGACTTTACTGACAAAATGAGCACAAATATTGGCTTCGGTTAGTCATGCAGCTCTATCCAGCATACTTGATTCATTAAAATCTTTAAATCAGAATGATTAAAAGGTGTACACGTAAATGAGGATGGTGTGGTGGCTGAGCCTGTTTCTTAGGGAACAACATGGCAATCCGTGTTGGGTTCCTGAAACTTCGTAAATCATCCTCCACTCTCAGTAAACCCCTTGCTTTTAAAACCCCTGCATTAAAATATTTTAAA